AGAACTCAGAAGATCATGATCTCCACTCCCGGGCGGGCGAGAGGGAGCAGCAAAAACTGAGGTGGAACGTCATGTCGTGACTAATTCTCAGTCACTCTGGATCCTTTTCCACCTGCGCTCAGCTTCTGGTACGGTGAGCGCCCTGCATCGGTCGGTTCGACCGCAGAGAACTCAGAAGATCATGATCTCCATTCCAACTCATCCCGTGTTTTTCAGCTCACCGATCCTTGTTGTCTTGAAGTAAAAAGTACCAGGCTGAAGCAGGTACCTGCGCTTTGTGCCACAGTGAAGCCTTTTGAAGAACAGCCGGGAAAGTGGAAGCGACTTTTAACACTTTGTTCCTTACTTCTGCCGTCTGGTCAGTGAGGAAGGTGGCTGCTTCCACCTCTTGGAGATAGATGTCCATAACTCTATGCTTTTGGTTTGGGCCCAGCTTTGAGAAGGCTATCGACATGACCTCCAGCAAGTCAGGCAAGTCGACCTTGGCGGCTTGATGCCTCGCAGACCGTTTTCGCGTCTTTGGCTCTTCGATCCTCAGTAGCGCAAAAGCTTGGCTGTTGTAGACATCCTCAGGAAGCACTAGATGTTTCCTCATGGCTGTGACGACCTCGCCGGGCCGGCAGAGACCGCAATCAAAACCAGTCCTGGGAGAGCAATATGAATATGGGGCTCGCGAGCAAGCCAGTTATAGGCGACGTCCCACGCACCGCCTAAACTCCTTCTCAGAACAGACCTAGCAGAGGATACAGCATTTATCAGCTCGGAAAAATGACCGTACGGTCGTCCACCTCGAAAAGGTGTTGGCCAAAATCAACAAGCAGACGGTCTGTAGTCTCTGCGTCAACGCCGTTCTCAGCGAGCAGGTCTTCAAGCTTGAAATGAGTGGCATCAGCTAACCAGCGTGCGAAATCGTTAAGCCGCGCCTCCCGGTTCGAGTCAGTCTTGGGGAGAACACTCCTTCCAACTTGTAGTAGCAGCTCTGATCTCTCCAGGGCCTTTTTGTTGTAGGCAGTCGAGGGCACGGCGAGGCAACCATGGCTCAAGCATACTACAAACAAGGCGATCCTAGAAACAATCCCACCCCGAAAGGAACCCCAACCCTGAACTTTAGGGTAGTTATGGGGAGCACGGGTGATTGCAACTTGCGGCAAGGAAGCGGAAGAAAACTCCTGCACACAGTTGAGGCGAAGGACCCCAGACGGGGTATGGCAGAGGAGGAGTAAGAAGGCAAGCGCCAAGCATGCAGCACAGTGGATGGCACAAGAGTTGCGACTGCCAGGGCACAGAGAGGCAGGCAGGCTGAAGCGGCAGGGGAACAGAAAAAGAGGCACCGAAAAGTCCAAGGCGCGTGCTGGTGAACGCGGAGAAAAGTCCAGGAAGAAATCCAAAGGACTGGGATGAAGACAAGTCGGTTCCTGTTGCACGTGTGGAAGCAGGGGTACAGTAGGCAAGCAGAATGGCCAACCTCAGCCAGTTTGCGGCAAAGCGCTTTACGCGAAGGCAGGCAAGAGGGAGCAGAAGTTCCTTGAGGATGCTCCCGACGAAGGACAACTTGCATGGGGGCCGTATGTTTGCTTCCCGAGCCGGGTCGTCCGCGACATTAAGTCTCGTCGGAGCAAAAAGCCTCACCAAAGTACAACCCGGCCCCAAGTGAGAGGGCACACACTTGCCCGAGCAGCTTCCTAAGCTTTGAGCTTGACGAGCGGCCCTTGGCGCAGGCAGCTAGAGAGACGGCTGAGTCAAAGAGGTGGAGCAGTCTCCTGTCCTCCCCAGAAGGGGGCTGCATTTTGAGAAGAGCGATCAAGCCCCTTGTCGCAAGAAGGTCACTCGCTCAAGCTCCCAAACACGACCGGCAAGGAGGTCATTTACGATGGGCGATTCAAGGCCGGCAACACCTCCAGAGTCAGCTCTGTCGGCCCCACGCAGGCTGGCAACGAAACTGCAGAAGGACACAGCGATCTCCCTAACCAGGGCTTCGGGGTAGATGGCGGAGTCCTTTGTGTAGCGCCCCTCTATTCTAACATGCGTATGCCCTCCCCTGCAAGGCCTAGCACAATTACTAAAGTCCACATTAACCCCTATCAGTCTAAAAATTTTCCTATGGATCGACCCAAACTGGCACGCAGACAGGAAGCACTCCTTAGCGCCAGGGAGCAATGCAAGCGCGCGCCAGATGCCAAGCCATGCCATCTTGGACCTACGAGGTTGTTCGCCTCCTGCCCCTCTGCTGTAGGTGCGAGCAGTGAAGAGGATGGCCAAAGCTCTTTGGGCCAAGATGTTGCCGACTCTAACTCTGGGGCGCGAGTGATCAATGCATGGGTCATCGGTACGCAGGGCTAAACGGCTAAATGTTGTACACGGGGGCGAAACGAAGGCCGATAGTAGCCTGCCCTCTCTCAACATCTGGACTAGCCAGAGCATGACGTCGGCGCTTGCAAGATCACACTGAGAACTATGCTCGAGGTCGAGAGGCGGACAGACAGTCAGCCCGGCCTGACTGCAGAAGTGCGAAATCCGAGAGGAGCCCGCACAGATTTCGACAGTCAAAACGGAGCGGAGGGTTCCTCGAAGGTCGAGTATTTCCAGGGGCTCTTCTTCAAGAACGGGGTCGCCTATCACTCTCCTGAAGGGCACGGGCGCCAACGTCGAGCCGGGAGTACCCGCCTCTGCAGCGGTCAGGGGGGTGCTCACAACTGCCCCCTTGGAGTCAGCCGAGCGGAGAGGTTGCTGGCCATCAGCGGAGCAAGTATGCTGGCGACCACAAGTTCGGTTGGCACAGAGCGAGGAAGACGAAACAGCTTGTCCTGCTCTAAAGCTTGGACCTCTTCGTCATAAATGACCTTGTAGATCCTTGCGAAGCACACAGTGGTTGGCCTCCTATACATCATGCAGTGAACCCAGGAGCCTACTATCTTTTCGAGGAGGGCCCGGCTAGAAACCCTAAAGCTAGTGGCAGCAAGAGTAGCATGTGCAAGGGCAAGGCGCTTCTCGGCGGGAACAGCCACCGTGACCTGCTTACGCCTCAGGGCTTCACGAGAGGAGTTGACCTGAGCACCAGCGACTGTGAAAACCAGTGCGTTGGCAACGTCTTTTTCAGGGGAACCTTCAACACCAACCTTCCAATATAGATCAAGCGCTTGGCTGAGTCTCTCTCTGCACAGCGTTGGCGCGAGAGCACCTCGCGACCCTACACAGTCAAGGTTGGGTATTGGCTCTTGGGTCACGATGAAAAAGTCGTCGATCACCAGTCCTTGGCACTCTGGCCCCGAGAGGCAGGGGCTACGCGTTTTGAGACGGACTTGGTCTCGTGAGAGTCCTCCATCCCGAAGTAGCCCCTCGTCCCTTCGCAGGGGAGCTGTTTAATGCGGCACCCCCCGCAACACGAAAAAGGTCATCACCTTTCTTTTCTCTACCTGTGATGCCTTTGCGCTCTAGAAAGCGCCTCCCGGCCTCGTAAGTGCGAACCACGTCAAGAGGCAGACGAGGGCCAACAGGGTTACCCGCCGCTTTCTCTTCAGTCACCATTGGCGGTAGAAGTCCCGACGGTCGGTGATTGCCCCGCACAGGAGTGCTTTAGGCTGCAACAAAATGCCACATAACAAAGGGCCACATGGCAAATCAGATGAGGGTCCGGGCAGCCGGCGATCGATTAAGTTAAGTGACCTTCTGTCGCCTATCTGGCGGTCCATCGCCTCGTTTTTTCGGGCGTTGAACACCCTCACCTTCTGCCAATCCTCATGTGATTCCTCAGTGAAGGCGAGCAAACCTTGCTTATCCCACTTCCTGAAAAGAGCTTTGAGCTCAGTCGGGGAGTCTGTGCACTTAACAAGGTGAGGCTCTTCAGGCTCGCTAGCCCGAAATCTTCAAACGTGACGCATTCAAATTGCTGTATGGCCGGAGATCTGGTCTCCCCTCATCGGCGCAGGGAGCTTTTCCAAAAGAAGCTTGTCCGTATCCTCCGTTCGAGATCGGACCATGCGCAGCAGAGAAGAAAGCAAGGCTCCCGACGCTTGCAATTAATTCATGGCTGCAGCGCCCCGGACACAAGGAAACCGAGGGGCCAAGGAGCCACACGCGCTGAGGAGCCGCCTGATGCGATCGTACGTCGCACGCTGGCTTGGAGAAGGCGGCCTCCGAAGCTCGGCAAAGGGAATCCATTTCCCTCCACTGAAGACATAATTCAAACACATTGCGATGACATGTACCCCTCGTTTGAGCATGAGGCGCTTGCACCGCTTTCTTGCCAGCTTCGGGCCACTCCCATCG